AAATAAAAAAATATATAGATAATAATAATAATAATAATAATAATAATAATAATGATAATAAGTGAAGCATTACCTATTAATTTCAAAAAAAAATCAATTTTAAATGATTAACAATTAATGTTATCCATTATATCCTTTCTTTTATCGTATAGATACGATATTTGGTTTCGAATACTCAATTCACACTTATCAAGAATATATTTTAAATATTCAAATTCATCAATTAAGTTTTTTTCTCAATTAACAACACTTCTCTTTTCGCTTTTAATTTTGTTTTTTTTATTTTTTCCCTAATTTCATTCATTTTATTATAAAAATGTCTTGTGGTCTTTGCCATTTCTTGGTCATTATCGAACCCCTGCTGTTGAATTGTAATTATTTGTTGCATGATCAAATGTACTGCATCCATTGTCCTGTAAATTTATTTAATTTACATACTAACCATTAGTTAATAAAATATTAATTTTAAAAAATTTTTAATGATTACATATTATCTATAAAACATTAAATTGTGATAGCAAGCATTGTTTATAGTAATTTGATGAATAAAACATTTTATAATAGGTAGTAGATTCAGTGATTATGTGAAACAGTGTGAAATAATAAAAAAACAAGTTTCATTGAATGTAGTTTTGTAAAACCTTTCAGTAAATGATAATAATGACTATAATCATAAGAGTTTATATTTTTAATTTTGGATGCTAGTTTTAAAACATTATTAAATTATAATATAAGAGATAGTTAACATACAATACATTATACCTATAGTTTATCTCGTTTCAGAAATTCTAGCCGCGATTTCGTTTTTTATTTATGTATGTTGCCAATTCTAATCTCTCTGCACCACAAATTTGTATATTTTAAACATACATAATGTATAAATTACAATATTTGCTAAAACTTTCTCTATTTTCTCTTTCCAATAAAATTAATGAACGTTTTAACTTATTAATTCGAGTAACATCAGGTTGTAGGCTTGTTCCAAGTAGGAAAATCTTATATTTTATATTTCTTTTAATTTTCTTATATTGTCTACGCTCCCATCTTTGTGCAATTTGAGCATCCTCATTACTTTTAATTAAATTTTCCATCCTATTGACAGAAAATTGGAATCTAGTTGTAAGCTCGTTCAAAGATAACCAATTCATTATCTGTAATTTTTACCCAAGTATATTAGTTCTAATATATCAAATTATTTTATACAAAGATATTTTGTAGGGGTTTTGTAGAAAAAACTATTAACTTAAAAGAAAATATTGTATAATTGTATGTAATATGACTGTATTTAAAAAAAATATATTATCATTTTGTAATAACGCAAAAAATCGGTACATGATGAAGATAGGAGATTTGTTTTTAGTAAGTCGAGTTTTGGACTTAGAGCTCTGCAAATGGTATGGTTGTATCGGGGGGGATATAAGCTATATGGTAATTGCATTGAAAAAAATCCCAAGTGTTTTACATAGTTTCCAAACTTACAATATATCATACAGTTTCCGCATGATGCCATGAAATACTACTTGCTGCGGTAATCAGCTCCTCATCGCTAACAAGTTTAAATGTTATCCTTCAAAACGTATTCACAGGATAGCAGACTACCTACCCTTTTCAGGGATGTATCTTTTATGGCTGTAGGGACGACGGTTTTTTGTTTACAAAGTTTCCAAACTTACAATATATCATACAGTTGCCGCATGATGCTATTAAATAGTACTTGCTGCGGTAATCAGCTCCTCGTCGCTAACAAGTTTAAATGTTATCCTTCAAAACGTATTCACAGGATAGCAGACTACCTACCCTTTTCAGGGATGTATCTTTCATGGCTGTAGGGACGACGGTTTTTTGTTTACAAAGTTTCCAAACTTACAATATATCATACAGTTGCCGCATGATGCCATTAAATAGTACTTGCTGCGGTAATCAAGTCCTGGACACCGTAATTCCTAGATGTTAATTTTGAAACTTTTACACCAAATAGCTGACGAGTGTACCAATATATACATATGCTTTTTATGAAGGTGGTAGAAAAATTGTAGTTTTGGTGACTGTTCAAAGTAGAAATACTGCATAGTTGTAATGTGCTCAATACCCCCCCGTTCAGAACATATGTGTTTTTCATCATATCATATTTTTTTTATTTTTTTTTTTTTTTGTTTTATTGATTTATACTGTAACTCATTATAACTATATTTAATCTCACCTGTTATTATACACATATTAAACTATGTATTGGGCTTCAGCCCGTTTAAAATTAAATAAATAAATAAATAAACTTGTTTTGGTTCTTATGTATGTAATATATTATTAGTATAATAACATATTAAATAAATCATATTAGTAAACATATTAAATAAAGTCTTGGAATAAATTTTTGTACATGTATATAGAAATGTACAGGCATTTTTTATCCTTTATAGGGCACAGGCAAAACAAGAAAAATTGGGGACTGTCAATCTCTGGTGGTGTCCGCTTTTCATATGACTAATGCTGCAAAAAATTATCTTGGCATTAGTTATTTGTATTAAAATCTTTTTTATAATTTATAATTACTGTTTGTTTTCGATGATTATATAAAGCGTTAGGTGCATGGAATGTTACATTGCATGTACTGCATTTAAATGGCTGTTTCTCGGTGTGAATTCTATTGTCATGGTAAGACAAGTACCTTTTATCCTTGAATTTAAGCCCACATTTCTTGCACTTAAACAACACATCACCATGCTGTGTTTTTACATGATATGTGAGGTTCAGCTTTAATTCAAAGAGTGAATCACAATGTTCGCATTTGAAGTATTCTCTATTATCATTGTGTCCAATCATATGCCTTTGAAGGTTGTCTTTCCTTTTGAACTGCTTCTTGCATAGAGCGCAGGTAATCTCTGGTGGCCGATGTGTCTGCAGATGCCTGATGTATGACCCCTTAATATTGCAGTGATAACTGCATTCAGCACAATTGTATACTACAATAATAATATAACAGTTATTTACTACATTTATCATTTCATTATTCATTCTCACCTGTTTCACAGTTTTCTTTTCCTCGTTTGGATTTATTTTTGGTAGCAAAAGTAGAAGGCTGCTGCAGGCTAGCGGTACATGGGGCAGTAACGTTTGTGATAGTACCTTTGCAACTGTTGACAGACGTTTGTTCATCGTCTTCAGACCGTTCGCTGTCAGATGAGTCAGTTGAATTGGGAATGTTAACAGAAGACACTAAAACCAATAATGTAATTATTTTTAAATGTTATTAAAAAAAAATATTGATTAACACTTTGGGTTGTTTAAAATTGTACCTGATTCGCAGATTTTCTTTTTTAAAGGTTCATCGGAAATGGAAGGCTGCTGCAGGCAGTACATGGGGCAGTTATTTTTTTGTTAGCAGCTTCGCATGTGTGACATCTGCAATCTTCGTTATTAGGACCAAAATAACAACTGGAATAAAATACGGTTATCTCTTCACCAACTTTAATGTCTCTTAATGTCTCGATGCACACTAAACTTTTATCTCTACTAGTCCAATCACTGTTTGCATTACAGTCATGGTTGACATACGAGCAAGGCCCAAGGAATATTTTGTTCTTACTTAATTTGGTTCTCGTACTAACAATTATTGAGAAGTCGTTAACTCCTTCAAGTATGAATTTGTCTGAAATAGGAAAAGACTGTCCCTGTAGCAAAGACATTTTCGTTTTTTTTTTTACGTTCTTCGTGGCAATTACTTTTGCACCTCCAAGGCGTTTGTCGGGGACAATTTTGAAACCCGAATCCAATGTCAATGCTTCTTTGTATATTTTTTTTTGATTATCGAAAATTTTTTTTTCCGACGGGTACTGCAATGGGAATAGATCAACGCCAGTCTTATGGGCAGTGGCGTAAATAGGCCATCGGAGGCCCGTGTGCAAAGACTAAAATGGGCCCTCCAAAAAAAAAAAATAAATAAATAAATAAGCAGTGATAAAATATGATTTATCCTTATTAATGATTAGGTTAGGTATATTTATTGTTTACCTATTACTTACTTGTAAGCAACCTAGCAACATTTATAAATTAATCACATTGTTTGGTAGTTACGTAAGCAACACCAACACCGTGATAAGCAGATGCCGCCTTCCCGCTACTCTCGGTAACCGGATCAGTTGCGTGCCCGCACCTAGCCGTTGTCAGTGTGTGCGTTACCGTGAACCGTCTTACCGTTGTTTTTATGTTCTTTTTTACCTACTGCACGGACAAAGTGAAGGAATTAGCTTCAACCACCGGCACCGTACCTTCACCTCCCCGTCACTTCATCTACCAGGCACCTCACCGTCAATTCACCATCGCCCACACCTCACCGTCAATTCACCATCACCCAGGCTCTTCATCGTCAAATAGCACCGGCATCAACGTCGTACCCGTTACGGTTTTTATGGAATTATTTTCTATTATATTATTATTGTAATTTTGAATTATTATACAATTAGTTTTAAGAGCCCTACGCCGGCCGGCACATTTGTGTCCTTATATATTATTCGTTATTCTTTTTAAAATAGTAGTCCGCCGCTCGCGGCAAAATCAAAATACAGTTGTTACCATTTATTCATACCATACAGTCCACTAATCTAAGCTGAAGTAACATTTGGTCCTTCGTCCTAGGATATAAAAAATTACTATTTAATATTCTAAGTGATTTGAATCATTGTTGGATTTTAGACATTTAATCGTTAGTTGTATGATCATTGAATTAGGCCATTACGTAATAATTATAATATGACAATTGTAAGTGTCTACTGGGTATTATGATCGATTTGGACTTTGTACTCATTAGGCTCTAATTCTGTTACCACTGTTATCGATAGGCGCCAAGCGGTCTGCGCGAATCTTCACTCCCCGTACCGCGAGAGCAACGTGGATCCGCACTACCTGTACGTAATTATAAAAGGTGCACAAAACTAGGTCACGTATTTATACACGTACAATTTTATTTATCGTTGCAATTTCTTATAAACATACAATATTCAACAATGGGCGTTTATGAAGAAGCAAAAGCTCGCATATCAAACTTGACAAATAGAGCTCGTCGTGTGTATGATGCAGGGGAGGCAATCAAAGGAGATTCGAACGATACGAAGGCAAAAATTAAATTTAAGATAATGTACGCAACTCTAGAAAAGTTATCTGAAGATTTTGAAACGCAGCTGTCGACAATTATTCGATATCAGTGCAAAGGAGCAACAGAGCCGGACGACAAAGGGGAAACAGAAAAATGGCAAGCTGAGTTTGAAGAGTTGTATGTAGGCTGTAAAATTCTTGCAGATGAGTACCTGCCCGAGGCTTCGGTTGAGTCAGCGTTAAATAGAACTTTTTTAGAACAAAAACCACCTAATTCTACAAACACCTATTTTCCAGTAGAAAAATTGTCTGTTCCGATATTTAGGGAAAGTCCACTAGAGTACACAAGTTTTCGAAACATGTTTGATATTCTGGTACACGAAAGCAATATGTCACCGGTACTTAAATTTGGATATCTGAAATCCAGATTGGAAGGAGAACCCTTAAAACTAATCGGAAATCTGATGCTGACGGCCAGTAATTATGAGCTAGCCTTATCGCAGCTAAATGCACGGTATTCAAACCGTCGTGTCATCGCCGAGAGTCACCTTGACGAGTTGTCTAAAGCACCTAATGCATTGCACGATGATGGAGGTTCAATAAAAACACTATTAAACACCATCGTTGAGTCCACTGGAGAATTACGCAACTTATCATATGCCGTAGATCAGTGGGATCCAATTCTGTTATATTTGTTACAAAAGAAGTTGGACCAAAATCTCAGGACACAGTGGGAATTGTTAGTAGACACCACTGAAGATCCAACGGTATTAGAGTTTGTCACGTTCCTCACCAAGTACAGTAAATCAGCTGCTGTATGCCAAGCCAACGACAAACCTGCCACGAGCAGAGGAAACAAGTCGTCAAAAACCACCGCTTTATTCAGAGATCGCAAAGAACAACGACACACCTTTGCACCGAAGAAAACTAGCACTAATCAACCAGAGAAGAGGACGTACACGTGTCAAGTATGCAATAGTCATCCCGGACATTTGTTAATACACTGTCCATTATTCAAAGAAAAGTCACCAACCGAACGTTATCAAATAATTAAGGATCTGAAACGTTGTTTTAACTGCTTCAGCGCGCACATGGCGAGCGAATGTATGAACCCAAAAAAATGCTCGGAGTGTAGTGCAAAACACCACACCTTACTTCATTTCAGTGACCACAAACAGGTTGTCACTTCTGCACATGTCACAGTGGCCGCGTCGTCTACCAGAGACCCCCATGCCTCAGTTTTGTTAGCAACCGCTAGTGTGGTGATTCAGAATGAAGAAGGAAATCACGTCACCGTACGAGCACTATTAGACAGCGCCAGTCAAAGTAGCTTTATAACTGAGCGCTGTGCTCATCTATTGCAATTGGTTAGAAAAAAATGTGACGTTATGGTACAGGCTCTGTCTGGGACCCGTGTTCCTGTGGTAAAAGGAAGCGCCAACATAATTATCCGTCCTGTCGATCAAGAAGAACCGCAATTTAACGTAGATGTCCTAATTTTATCTCGTATAACAGGACCTGTGCCGTCAGAACGCGTTTGGTCAGATAACTGGCCCCACATACATGGATTACAATTAGCCGACCCTGAATATTCCGAGACGCTACCGATTGACGTTTTGCTCGGTGCCGATGTTTTCCCGCACCTTTTCCTAGGTGATAAAAGGGAAGGTATCTCGGGACAACCGATTGCTATGTCTACAGTCTTTGGGTGGGTGCTCATGGGAAAAACGTCTAGTGCACCAGACAGGAACATAGTCACTATGTGCTCAACCATGGATTCAGTAGACCGAACGTTACAGCGTTTTCTAGAAAACGAAGACGTTCCAACCGTAGAGAAATCTAGTCAGGCTGACTTGGAATGTGAACGAATATATCAATCAACCACAACGCGCCAATCGGATGGTCGTTATATAGTGCATTTACCATTTCAGCAAGACCCACCACTTCTCGGGAAATCGAAAGACGTGGCATTGCGTCGGTTAGAACAGTTGGAAAATCGGTTCAAACGGTTTCCTGAGCTCCGTGACGAGTACCACAACGCGATGAAAGACTATCTGGACTTGGGTCATATGTCTCAAATAAAAGTTCCATCAGTCAATGAACAGACGGGTGCGTATTATATTCCCCATCAGGCAGTGCTGCGTCCGGAGAGTACCACTACGAGAATGCGTGTTGTTTTTGACGCTTCGGCAAAGTCTTCTTCAGGACTATCTTTAAACGACAACCTTTGGTGTGGAGAAAAACTACAACAGGAATTACCAAGCATAGTCCTACGTTTCAGACTACATCCCGTTGTATTTACTGCTGACGTAAAGCAAATGTTCCGTCAAATAAAAGTAACCGAAGCTCACCGGCCGTACCAACGTTTACTATACCGTTTCACACAAAATGAGCCGATTCAGGAATACGAAATGAATACGGTGATGTTTGGTCAGAAATCATCGCCGTTCCTAGCCATACGGACTCTACATAAGTTGGTAGAGGATGAAGCCGCTAACATGCCCACCGTGCAAGCGGTCGTACATCATGACTTGTATGTGGATGATGTGGCGACAGGCGCAGAAACCGAAGAACTGGCAATGGAACTTCAAAAAAACCTCGTGGAAGTTTTCGCAAAAGGCCAATTTGAATTCAGGAAATGGTCAAGTAACTCAGAAAATTTACTGGCTTCTATTCCTGTTGACCATAGATATACACAACCAGTCACACTCATCGAGCAAGAGTCTGAGCAAACAAAGGTACTTAGTTTAAACTGGGACCCAAAAGCTGATGTACTTAGTTACAAATATCAACCCAATCCGGTGAAATATAGTAAACGCGCTATACTTTACGAAGTTGCCCGTATTTACGATCCTCTTGGGCTGTTATCACCAGTTACCACAGACCTCAAGAGACTCATGAAATATCTCTGGTTGTTAGAAGTCGGTTGGGATGAACCCATCCCGGAAGAAGCGGCGACAGCGTGGAACAAATATCATCAGGAATTGCCCGTGTTGGCCACGTTAAAAATTCCTCGTCTTGTCACACATACTCGTGCGTCGTATGAGTTGCACGGATTTAGCGACAGCTCAGAGGCAGCGTACGCAGCAGCCGTATACATACGTGTAACTTCAGAAAGCCAAACCAATTGCCATCTGCTGATGGGAAAGTCGAAGATAGCTCCAGCTTCAAAGGTTTCTGTCCCACGGTTGGAGTTGTGCGGCGCGTGGCTGCTTGCTCGTCTCATCAATTACGTTCAGAAACACCTCGACATGCTAATGATATCTAACGTTACTGCTTGGACGGATTCCACGGTAGCATTATCTTGGATTCGGACACCGACGGTACGGCTAAAGACGTTTGTAGCAAATCGTGTGGCAAAAATACAACAGCTAACCGACACGAAAATCTGGCGCCATATTCCGACCCGTGACAACCCCGCCGATTGTGCGTCCCGAGGACTTGGGCCTAGCGATCTAGCTACACATGAGTTATGGTGGAAGGGTCCCACATTCCTACGTCAACCTGAGAACACTTGGCCTGTGGAGGGCACCAGGTGTCCCGCAAGTTGTCCAGAGGAAGAAGTTGAGCAGAAGCGGATCACCCTACTCACCCAAGTTGTCGACGATGAATGCCGTGTACTGTGGCAATCAGATAACTTATCCAAAGTGCTAAGACTCACAGCGTACCTGCTGAGGATAGTTGACCGGCTAAGAAAGAAAACCACTCCACATTGGACGTCGCCACCGACAACAGAGGAGACCGACAGAGCGCTACGGTCCTTGATACGTTGGACACA